TTTTGTTCTTTTGAAAGGAACAGTTAATGCTTAAAACTTTCTTTTTTCTTGACCAATTTTGCACGCTTGAATCTGGTAATCAGAATGACTGGTCTGAAAATAGTATGCAGTATAAGAACCATTGTTGAATTCCTACCATCTTGTGTGGTGAAGTTCTGCATCATTTCCTTTGTTTTTTAAATTTTTTTTTTACTTGTTACTGTCTTTGATTGTTTGATCGATCTTACATTCTGATGTCTAGTGGACTGAGCAACTTCATTGAAGATAACCATATGTAATATAGCATCCATTGTAAATTCCTATCATTTTGTTTTGAGGTCATGTATCAATTTTGTTGTTTTTGTGTTGTCTTGATTTTGTCTTCATTGTGTTTTGTCAGGTTTTTTTAATTTTTAAAATAAAAACGTAAAAAGAGAGAGAACTGGCTATAGACAAGTGTTTCAAGTTTTCCAAGACTCTTCAGAGACTTTGAGTTCAGGGACGTCTTTGGAGTCCTTCAAAAGGAGTGTAAGGATATTCAATTCTGCAGTGAGGATTTGCTCATGACTGGCCCTTAGCTCACACAATAAGATTATTCTATGGATAAAATTGTAATAAGTTGTCAGTGACTAAGATAAAGGAAGTTAGTATCTGTCTTTTAACAGGTTAGTTTCTTTTTAAATATCTTAAAGAATGCAAAGCCAATATACTCTAGTTGTTACAATTTTAGTTAATGTGGAACCTGGGTAGGAAATAAATTTTGTGAAGTAATTTCTGGCAGCTTTTAAATTCCTTGATATTATAAGTGCTCATAACAAACTAGTGTTTTCGTGTTCTACAACTTTAACAGCAGATAGCTTTTCCTTCTTTCTGTCTGCACACATCACTGCTACTGATGTAAGAAGAGCAGTATCAGCCGACCAAACAGTTGGAATTTCTCTTTTATTAGTTAATAAAAAAAAGGTTCCACAATATTTTACAAATTTTCATACTTAGTGGTATCAGAGATACAGGTTTTTCAAGAAAAAACATGTTATACTTCCAAAACTAGAGAATTTTGTTGATAGAAGTGTACATGTTACTGAATTCTTTTGTACAGCACATGGTCTGCATCTGCTCTGGTGGTGAGGAATCTCAAAGCAACTAGGATGTCTCTGCAGTTTCAGGAAGTGCATCCAGGGTATCCAAAATTGCCATCAGTCTTTGAAGGAACAGATCAGACAAGACTAAAATATTATTTTCCCTTCTGCTTCCATTTGCTTTTCTGCTCAAGCATATGAGAGATGGCACATAACTGACATACCACTACTACACTGCACTGGTCAAAATTTTTCTCCTCCAGGGCAATATGACACAATCTGAAACTTCATGAGAACTTTATCGTACAAGGTGAACCAGCCTACTCAGTGAAAGTTGCAGGTCAGTAAATAAGATATTTTTAACTAGAGCCAGTTATTGGCTTTATTTTCCTACCTTAGCTGAGCTTTCTTCCACACAGGAGGACATTTGAGAAACCAAGTACAGGACAAGTTATCTCGAGGTTTGTACATGTACAAAAAAATGACCACAATGTTCTCAGCAATGGCTTGAGAATTATGGATTTGGAAATTTTAAATAAGAAATAAATTTTTCTTCTGCATTTGCTTTGTTACTAAGATGCTTGTGTACTTGAGACTTAGATTTAAGAAATCAGTTTAATATTTAGGTATGCATTAGAGAATCAAAGTCAGGGTTTAATTTATTTGCCTGTCTTTATGTTTTGTTTTGTTATTTGAACCCTAGCCCTCCCATAATGACATAATCAGGATTCTCTTTTGTTTAATATCCCCTGAACCCAGCTTTTAATATAATTGAGTCAGTTCCACTTGTAGGAAAGGAAATGCATTACAGTGTGTTGGGTACCGCATGTAAATGTACATGGGTGCTTTTTCACAGGCTGATCATAAAATTTTCTTTACAGGATATCAGAAAAAGTCTCTAGAAGCACATTTCAAAAGACAATAATGCCATTTATGTGACCCTTGCTTCTGGAGCAAGGGTCTAACGGAAAAGCTATCTGGAGCAAGACATTCTCATTGGCATGCAGCAGTGCCTTCTGGTATATACCTAAAAAAGATTTCATTTTATTTCATTAAATCCCTTTGCACAAAAAGGTCAAGTAAAAACCTAATTAATGTTTAAGGAATGCTTTATCTTGAAATAGTGCTTTGGTTTGTAAAATCAGAGGTCAGCTTGAACACAGTACCTGGGTGAGTCTGAATCATGAGCATGTGTAGCTAGTCCACTCACCAAGTATGACGCTAAGTAGAGCACTCATTGCACATACAAAGTCTGACATAGAGAAGTAACTGTGGATTCAGTGAGGTTCTCATGTAGGAAGTGGTAAAGACCTTCTTCCTATTGTCCTAAAGCACTTATCCTGAGTTGACGGGAAATAGCGCCTCAGAAGCCAACGATAATCCCTCAGCTCCAACCTCCAGTTACCAATAAGACAGATTAAATACCCAGGAACTACAGAATATGAATTAAAACAAGTAGACCAGTCCAATGGAACTTACGGAAGTTGGATTTCTTTTGGAATGACCAAAGAGTATTTTAAAGTTAGCATCAGACTTTATTATTCTAGAGTGGAATAAATAGGTTTTTTAAGTCTAGAAAGTAAGGACAAAATTAGGTGCCTAAATCATCAAAGAGGAGAAAATCTGAACATCAGCCAAGATGCTACAACGTTGATATTTTGCTGAAGGAGACCCAGAGTAAGTTAGAGGTCACTCAAATGCCCAATTGTCCACAGTACAACTGCCAGGCATTGCTGCCACTTGGCCTGCTGGTCCTGCTTGGCAAGTGAAACATAAAATAGACATTAACTTTAGAATGAAAGGGAGAGTCGGTAGGAATTCATGGAATCAGAAGTTTGTTCACAGGTGGACTGGAGCCTAGGAGTTTGGAAACCTGAAATCTGGCTAATAAAAGAGAGTGAGACATAGTATAGTTTGTACACTTTCTAAGAAATGAGTGGAAGAAAAACAAAGATTAGAGACTGGTACAAAGTCGGGATGAGCACCTGTCACTGCTAAGACAGAAAGACAGTAGAAACGTTCTCACCAGAAACACAATGCTGTGTGAGGTAACTTGGTGATTTTGAATTGGAATAATTCAAAAGATTTGGTCTATAGAACTCAGGTAATAAAGGCAGAGTGCAACATAGTATCAATGAACTGAAACTAAACTGGAGAAGTAGTATTATCAGACCTCTCTCTTTGCTCACAGGTAAAAGCAATCTCCATTTTAAAGTTAGAGGTGGGGCTACGCCTAACAACTTCGGTAAGTCCCAGTGCCAAAGCTTAGAGGGATACAGGGGCAAAACTTGTCATAGCCAGATCATCGACCTTTACTATTAATCACCTGTTAAGATCCCCTGTATGTTGCAACAGTTTGCATTATGCCATAGAAGTTTTACTTCTTTATCTTACCTGACTTCTGATGTTAGTCACCTCAGAAATTCTAGAAGCTTTAAACTTTTGTCACAATTATTCTTCACACAGACATCAGTGTTTGAAGCACATTAATTTCACATTTTATTTCACCATAAAATATTTCTCTCCTCCTCTTTGAATATACTTTTATTTTAATGTCGAAAAGTTAAATCCATAAGATTTTTTTTCAATCCAATCAGTTTCTCAGATCAGGTTTTTAAAGGCTCAACTGGGTTCACTTCAATATCTGATCCTACAGTCTCCTAAGCACAGGCAAGATAGAAAGGTAAAATGCTTGTAGTTATAATTATATATATATATATATATATATATATATATATATATATGTATGAATAGTATCCACCTGGTTTTTCACAGACACCATTGTGTTTTGAAAAATTTGTGGTGCAATTATGACTGATTATATATACCAGTGGTACCTTAGTTCAAAAACTTAGTTGGTTCTAAGACTTTGGAAAAGATGGTAACTTCTGTGTTTGTGTGGGAAAGACAGCAGAGGCTGTGTTTGTCACCTGATGCAGAATTTGTAAACAAAATCAAAATTTTGCCAAATGCTTCTGTTTGGGAACCAAATTGTTTGCAGACAAAAGCATTTATGAACAGAGGTGCCCCTGTATATAATCGAGTTACTTTAAGACTTTATTTCAAAAGATTTTTATTAAGATCTATATAGTCACAGGCTGTGTCATAGCCTACCTTCAAAGGTCTGCAAGCATTCATCAATATGAAAACTCACACACTTCATTATCTTTATATCATTATTTTTCATATTTTGATATATATGTTTTCCTCGTATGGGAAATTTTTCTATAACTAACCAAAAAATCTCTACAGATAATAAGAATTGGGATTTAAAAACTGCTAATATCTATGTGATCACAATCGCATTTTCACTGCTGAGTTTCTTTCAGTAAATAGAAAGTTAACCAAACACCTAATTCATCAAGTATCTGCTGACCATGAACGAAAAACATGTATGTTCAATTATGAGAAAAGTAAAATACTAAAGTATATTAACATAGACAAATATGAATACAGAGTAATATGGGGAATACGGCTGATATCATATGTAAACTTGCTAGAACATTTTCTTAGAATATTAAATAATTATCAATAAAAAAGTAAAATTAGTTTATATGTATGACATCCTTGCAAAGTAATGTTCACAATCTTTATAAAACAAATGAAGTTATACCGGACTAACAAAGATAAGGTTTATATAATGATGATTTGAATGTTAAATGTAGTAAAATTGGTATTTGCTCCCCTGTCTCCAAAGCTGCTATGTATCATGGTTACAATAAAAGCAGCTTTTTATCCAACAATAGAGTAATTTTAATTTTCTATTCCAAGCTAAATGTAGGTCTGGGTGTAACACAGAAAAGGACATCATAGATAAATGTTTGCGTAATCAATACAATTCTGTATTGATATTTACTTCAAACATTTCTGCCAGGTTTGCATTTCTAAGTGACAGGTCTTTGAAGAAATTACTCTGTCTAGGAACAGAAGGTGCTCACTCACCTTATTACGAAGTTGTGACTGTCAATCTCCTTTCCACATCCACTCTCTAGCAGAATGCCAGAGTTGCCAACAACTGCACAGGTCTTAAACCGACGATTTTTCATCGGTGAAACTTCAGGTAGGAGGCTGTGCAGATTGTGGGAAATATTTAGTGTCCGGCGCCTGTCCAGCACGTAGTGTATGACATCGCCTGGTTTAAAGCTGCTCTTGACCACTGAGACATCTCGCTCTGCATCTAAGAAACGAAGAATGTTCTTCCTATATTTGAAACATAAGCAAAATTTTACATTACAGCATATCCAAGAACTGGTAATGTCATTTGCCGAGCATGAAACATACACTGGTAAATCACTCACCTTGAATTTTCAGGGAGTAATTACATCATCCAATTAAGTATACTCTATAGGAAATAGAATATGTTTTTAAAAGTAATTTGTACTGAGCTTATAATAGATTTGTAAGTATATTATATAGACCTATTTTTAGAGAACAAAGTAAAATATATCAAAACATACCATGGAAAAATCCACTTATTAAGCTAAAGACTTGAATTTCCATAATCAGATGTTCTGCTACTAACTTTCCGTTTTCTATAGTCACTTATTTTGCTTATTGCAATCTAGTCAAGGTGACTAGAAATAATTAAGAACTTTGAATTTAGACCATAGTTAATATTATGACCTTTTCAATAAACATATATATGTATAAAACTCATCTACATTTTATAAATATGTGAAGAAAATATGAAACTATGTCACTAAATGTATGTGTAAGTTTTCTTTCTAGCCTAAGATCCCAGGCAATAGGGCCAACATGGTAAAGTAAATGTTGGTTAGATGAAGCACTGGATTGTATATGGCAGAGAGAGTCAAATGTTGCTTATGTCCTTTCTTCCCCTGTTCCTTTTACTATTTCAGTCTTCAAGCTTTTATATGAAAAATGAATGTTCAGTTAGAACACTTCCAATTTTTAAAATTTAAATACAGCTAGGTTTGGTCATGAGTTAGCCTTCTCAAGTGGGATCAAGTAGCTCATGTGCATGGCTGTGTGACAAAGAAATGAAAATCACTTACAATTTAGTTGGCCACCACATTTTCGATCTTTTTTCATAGAAGCTCATCCTATCAAATACCTAATATGTAAGTTGATACCAAAGTTGAGATGCCATGGGACATGACATATATGCCTATGCTAAATAATTGGATGGTGAAAAATGACAAAATAGTAGGCTGAAAGCTGATACACGCTGACATAATATAGAAGATGCACTTGATAAAGTTGTTGTCTGTCATAATTTGGAAGTTGTGCCTTCCACCTAATAAATCTGCTGCATTTTGGGTATTTATTAAAAAGTGTTCATAAATTGGTTTATGTTGATTTTTCCTTTTAGCAAGGGACTTAAAGAGGTGAAGTCAGGCATGAAACAACCAAGTTGCAAACTAAGCTGAAAGGAAAGATATCCGCAGCGATGTTTTGTAGCCTCAAGTGTTTGTAGTCTAGTAATTCGGACCTTGAATTGTTTCTTCACCCAATTAACAACAGAGTATAACTGTAAGTCACAATCATCTTAGCAAGAAGAAGGATATTGACTTTTAACAGAAGTTGAGAGATTGAAATGACAAAAGAGTAGCTATTAAGTTTAGGGAAGTGAAGGATAACTCTGAATAATTGGAGAAGCAAAGCAAAAAAACCTTACTATTATTTATTTATATTAGTTATGTATATCTGAAACTTACTACAAAGTCATAGCTCAGAATCCTAGTAGCTCTTGAGAAAATTGTATGGGCAGGAAATTATGGACCTGGCCTATGAAATTCTGCAATAATTTGATCCACAGCTTACCAAACATGTAATAGTAAGAAGTAATTAAGGAAAACTTTACCCCAATGTTGACAATTGAATATTATTCCAATTTTATTGCAAATACTTTTTTTTCAGTAGCGAAAATTGAATCCAGGGCCTTTGCACTGAACAACATCTTCAGTCTTTTTTAAAAAACTTTATTTCAATACTTAGTCTCACTAAGTAACTAATTTGTCTAGTTCAGGCTCTGGCTTACTATCCTCCTGACTCAGCCCTGCAGAGTGCTAAGACTGCAGATGTTTTTTTGAAGTGATAAATACTACCTGTATTTTTGAAGTGATAAAACCAATGTCATTATTATAACATTTATGATCTAACTTATTTTCCTCTATGGATGTTATTGTTTATGCTTCATCATAAGTGGTAAATTTTTAAAACTAAGAACAAAACACCCTCCATTCATGACTACCAAAAGAAATCTTCTCCAATTTATACTTATAACCTAGAAAGACGATTGTCAAAGAGAGCTGTAACATAACAAGATCATATCCTCCTCATTTTCTGTGGCTTTTACTGAACCAATTACAGCTTAGTGTGTGATCTAATTAGAAAACCAAATTAATCAAAATTCCATACAGAGAAGAGATATACCTATCAGCTTGTGGGAAAAAAATATACTTTTAAGCTTAATTTGTAAAGGAAATTCTGTAAAAATACTCTACAAAGGAAATCAGAAAAATTATTAGAAATGTTGTCAAGCACCATAATAGTTTATCAACATACAGATTACATAAGAAGAGAACTACAGTTGAAATCCTCAAAGATGGGCTTAGGAATTGAAGCAATGGAGAAATCTTTCATCATGTCACATTATGTCACTTTTGTGACTCTTTACAAAAGTTAACGGTAAGCACCCAGAGTGTCAAAACACAGAAATCTCTGCAGTTACTTATTAGCTGTCATTTATTTGTCTGTGGAAAATTAATATTTTGACACCTATATTTCAACAAAATTTTCTCATTTCCTGTGAAAACGACAAAGCTGGCTCTAAAGTACAGACTTTATGGATGTGGTTAAACCATCCAACTACATGATGTTATCATTTTCCTTTCAACATAATTTAAGCAAGTTGCCATACATCTTCTTTGAGATGTACACTCATGGATGGTTGCATGTTTGCAAGTCTGAGGTGAATAGATTACAGGTCTAGATATGGAAGAAAATATAGTAGCCTAGTAACTATACAGGAAAGGTCACTTTTGCTCTACCAAAAAAGTCAGCATTTACTTAACTTTCAAACAGCAAGAAGGTCTTTCTTACATTTTTGCCCTGTCTGTGTAAACAAAAGTAGCCAACACACCTGAAAACACATTTTCTAAATTTCTGAGAATGACTGAACATCTCTATTTTATTCATTTTTAGAAAAAGTCATGTAAAAAGGAATGTGTGACTTGAGAAAAGATTTAACATGCACTATTTTGAGATTCATCAGAGAAAATACAGTTTAAAGAGACAAAAAATTATTAAATTTCAATGAGAACTTATTCTGCGTTCTTCCAGCTCTGTGTTAAAGGCTTAGCATAGTTATTTTTAAGTTAGTAGTGAAAATAGTAAAAGTGTTTTCCAAAGGAAAAAAAACCAGTAACCTCATACTAATGAAAATATAAAAATTTCTTCCACAAAATTAGAAACAGTTGTTAGGTGTACTATTTGCTAATTTAAACTGAAAAGAGGGGGAAAATAGTAAACTTGAAGGAATCCAGTAAGTTCCTTCCCTTATAGTGAACAAAACTTTAAGTTTCTATTTTAGGGGTTCAATCTCGGCCTGGAAAATTGTCTGAGATAAATTTGCTGGGCTAAGTGGATGAAAGACAGAAAATAATTTCTACCAGTGAATAATATTGTGATGTAAGTGCTTAACACGCTTTGAAAACGGTAAGGAAAGTTTAGTATTTTTCTCCCCCTAGCAGGCTGAAGATATCTTTTAGATTATAGATGTAATGGACCATAAAAAGCTCTGTGTATTTGCTAAATATAGTTGGTGCTCAGACTATAAATATGTTGGGGGAAGTAAAAATAGCGCTTTAACTTTTATATAATAAGCTAAATGCCAATGAGGGCATGAAGGCAGTATTTTTAAGCATTACAAAGTGAATATATATGCTTTTGCTCAGAACATGATTGATAAGAATTTAACACTAGTTATCAGCAGGCTAAACAGAACTACTTCAAAAGTAAGACAGAGAAATTGAGTAAAAGAACTAAATTTACTATCTGAGCTCTAAAAAAAGTTGAACCAACAAAAGCTAGTGTTAATGTACAAGGTGTAACTCTGCCACTTTTGTTAATTTGCAGTCAAGTTACGACCAGATATTCAAAGCAGGGATCTGTGTTTCAGTGCATGACTTGGAAAAACAAGAAGGTTCCTCATAGGTGGGTAACTGTAATTTGGCAATCCTCCTGCAACTTCTGAAACCTCTGCTGAATGTTAAAGATAACTGAAAAAAATCTGAAAATGTTTCGTTTTCAGTGACACTAAAAATCTTAGTCACACAAACTCTTTTCTGTTAAGCAACGCTGGCTTAAACTGAAAGTTTAAGTTGGTTTAGTCGGCTGGGCTGACAGGAATAGATTGTACACGAAACTTTTCAACTGAATTTTCAGCTACAACTTCCCTTTCAACAAAGCTCATGGCTTGAAATAGCAGCTGCCGAGTGCCACAAGACTGGTTTACTAAACATTGTTTTTGCCCTTGTAACTAACCTATAACCAGGTGCCACTCTTTCTTCTCTGTGGTTTTCCTGTCAACCCCAAGCACATGGGCTGTAACAACTACAATTTCATCCAAACAGCACCAAGTTCACCAGAAAGTAATGTGTGACAAAGCATTACAAGTTGAAAAGCAAATTAGGTTATGACACATATTAGTAATCAAATTTTGCCAACTCTAGATAGAGACTCCAGACCATCCCTCAAGTCAGTGAATCAATTCAATTGGTAATGACATAAAGAAAAAAATAAAAAAAAGGATAAAATTGTCCAAAATACTTAAAGAAAATAATTTTTATTGTTCTTTATGCCACAGTTTGCCAAATGAGTCTTAGCCCAAAGTTTGGTAATATTTGATGAATAATATTGGATGCTATTTTAGAGCAAAGGAAAACACTACACACTACATAACCAGGCATGTAAATGATTCACATTATTTGTAATAAAATATAATATTACAAGAAATATACTTCCTAATAATACACTGGCTAAACAGTCAATTAGGACTGGGTTTGTGCCCAATAAACTTTCTGGCCCAAGATCAACTGTATTGGTCATTTAATGATGAAAGTAAGTAGAAAATTCTGTAAGTGTTATATATGGGCCTTTTATTGAAGTAAGTCTATACATCTAGTAGCAAGTTTTTTTTGAGAAGTAAACATATATAAATTTGCAATTATATTCAGTTAATTGGTACACCTTAGGCTTTTTAGGAATTTTGATATTAAGTACTGAAAATATTTTCCTAATATTTTTTCCAATTATGTGATCTAGCTGTTTTGATGAGAAGCTAAGCTTCTACATTTCAAAACATCTATAATTTTAAGGTTGCTTTTGTTTTGGCTTTTAATTAGTATATGAAAATTAGAAGAAACAAATAATCCAAATAGGGGAAAACGTCAAGTCACAAATGTTAGACATGGTCAAATAACCTGTCGGTACAACATTCACAGATTTATTCATAGCATCTAACACAATAAAAATATGACCTTTCTTAGTTTACAGTAATAAAGAGGAAACTATTAATAATAAACTGAAGTATATACACTGATATTCAGAAGAACTGCTACCATATTAATATTTATAGAGATATTGGAAAGTGTGGCTAGATGGAATAATTAAGCTAATATCTATTACTGAGAATTTACATGCTAGAGGTTGACTGACCTGATATATTATTTAGTACAGCTAGATATACTCATTAGTCTATTACTGTTTCTTATTTTACTTGGCTTTCTTCTTCCATTACTTTCTTTGATCCATGTCAACTAAATTAATTGATTTCTTGTTAAACCATGCAATTTGAAGTTCTCTGTCTGGACACATTGCAAATCCAAGTTTTCCCTTTGGATCATCCGTATTTCTTACTTTCTAATCTACCTCCAAGAAATACAAATCCTTCAGCTCAAATACATCTGGATGTACAATGCTACCTGACCCCATTTGTTATAGCTACCTCATTTCTTATAGGGTTTCTAAACACAAACATGGAGCTGGAGGTGTGAGACAGGATGACACTGAACAGGAACCATGGAGAACACAGCCCCGGTGCACACGTCAGCCTGGAGAGAGAATGCTCCTACCGGCTTCCGTCCACTACCCAGCAGGAAGAACACAGGTCCAAACTGGAGAGATTTGAAGAGCTATACTTTTATAAGGAATTTCCTGGTATTTTAAAAGTTGACTTTTAGAATGCTTTCTTTACCTAGTTTAAATAGAGTTGGCTTTCAACCCATAGTCTACCCAGGAGATGCCAAATTATAGGTCACCAGAGTCCACACATCTCTTCATTCTGGTATTAGGCCCACAAATATAGAAAGTTTTCCTTAAACTATAGGCAGTCAAACACACAGCATTTTATACTGCAATGAGTCGATTCCCGTTTCCAGTTCCTATCCCTTCCAGACATTTAATACGAAGTAGCCTAACCATTCCTGTCTTTCTCTGACATCCACCTCTTTAATTTCCAGATACTTTTTGGTAAACTTCAATCTGCTGTAAGTGCGTTTGCCAAAATGTGCTCTGTGAATTGATATGCATGCTCTAAGGTTAGTGTCACAGATTCTTCTTTCAGGTTGCTTATCACCTGCACTATGTGTAGGCATGAACCAAGAAGTAGGTATACAGAAACCCAGGCAAATAGATCAGCCTGGGTTTAACTGATCTTTGAATCAGTATAATATCTCTCAATCAGCAGAATATCTTTCAATCAGTAAGATACACTTACAAAATATCTGTTAATATCCAGCCATTGAATAATTCACACTTTTCCATGTTAGGAAAATCTAATGATTTTATTACATAAAAGATGTAGTCTTTTGAACTTTTTGAGTTGTTTTTCTGAAATGATACAATGTAAGCATGTCAACCAATGCAGCAATGTAATGCAACCATAGGAAAAAAATTAATCTGCTCATTTCTCCCATGTCTAAACATTCTTATTAGTAACAGGACTATTAGAAAACACAATGTAATAAATATATTGAGTTTTATTTCATTTCTTTCAGCTTAGATGCCTTGTCTAAGAAATAAACCAGTATTCTAGAAAGCTTATTTTCTGATTTTTAGCCACCTTTCTCATGAAGTCAGGCTGACATAACCATTCATAGGATAAAACTAATGTATTCACAAGCATCAACAAAATATGCCTTGTGTAGTCTCTATCTGCATTTAGTTGAGACAGCATAAGATCTGAATAAAGTCTCAAGGAAGAAGTCAAACCCAATTCTAAAAAGATTTTCATACTGAGTAATTGTGTAAACAATGCTAAATGTCAATGTTTTGTTGAATATTTTATTTCATTAGTATAAAAGCTGTATATTCAAATCTACATATTCATCTTTAAATCTTTTACTATATAATAATTTCATTTTTATGGTTACACACTCTTCAGTGAGCAATGTTAAATAGAGCTGGTTCCTTCTTTCACTAAAATATTCCTACTTAACCTATAAATCAGATGTTCAATAGAAGTTTTCAAGCCCAACATATTTAAGAACATGATGTGAAATTTATTGTGCCTTATTAAAGAAACTCACCTGATCTCCAAGACCAAAGAAGAATTGATCTTCCATCCTTCTACAGAGTGCTGGAAGATTGATGAGCCCGCCTTTCGAATAATTTTATCAGAACTATTGACAAGTGATCGGCTCAAACACAATTCACCATCTCTGGAACAAAACAAAAATGCCAGCTTTGTGAAAAGAAGAAGTCTTTTCATCTCTGCTACACAAAACATAATATGATTTATATGATCGATGAATCAATTTCCAAGGGTTGGAAAGAGAGAAGCACGATGAAAGGTGTTGTAAGAATGAAGTGAACGTGCAACTTCATCACAGAAACCTACACACATACATTCTTAACTTTAATTGTTTGTATAAAAGAAAAACAAAGACCTCTTTGGAGCTTAAAGAAAAATAATTCTCATCAAAGCTCTGTTTCCTACTGCACCCCCAACTGACTCTTTTTAGACAATAGAGACAGGATGTTTGGTCAAGTATTCTACATTGCTGTAACTGGGACCTCAGAGATTAATTTTACTTTCCAAGAAGACATATAAACACAATGCCAATAGCTTTTGTTCCAGAGTAAGAGAACAATGGGCAATCAGGTGACCTGCGCATGTATTGATTACTGAGACTTGGTAGCCTTGTATTGTTACCTAGTATCCTTCCAGGCCACAATGACTTTACCATAACTTTGAAATTCAAGCAACTTTCAATGTGGTGAGGCTAACACACCACATGTCACGGTAGTACTGGAGTGTGGCAGCATAGATCATTTTGAGAAATACCTATGATGTCATTTATACCAGGAAGACGTTTGTAGCTCAACAGTTCCTCACTCAATGGATTATTTTCTTGTTACTTTACAGATGTACATTCAGATTCAGAGTGAAAAAGCCACATTTATAGTAAGGAAACAAAAAACATAGCCCTCTCAACATATGCATTTATTTCTTTACATATCACTTTTTAATTTCTTGAATCTTAACAGTGTAGTAAAAAAGTAACATGACTACTTGTTCAGTCAGAAATTCTAAATCTGTGCTCTTTATGTAGGCTTTCCTCGCCTACTATCAGTGGAACCTTTGCTTGTGTAACAGCTGTTGAATGAATTCTGTCATTGAAGGCTTATACTTTGGTATTTTGGTTTGCATTCTTTTTTTAAACCTGTAGTTTAAATTTGAAGCAACTCAAAGCATCATATGAAACCACTCCTTGTGAAATTTAGAACTCCATAAAGTAGTGCTTTAAAAAAAATAGTGCTTTAAATTATCTTACTGATGAAAAGGATATATTTGCATGCCTGTGTGCAGCTAATCATAATCATTTTATAGAGGTCATTTTGGATGCCAGGAAATGTAGAGCATTTTTTATCATTCAGTGGCACAGCCCTCAATATTTATATTACACATTAATGATAATAATTACATGTCAATTAAAAGATGGTTAAACATAGACGTTAACCTTCACACTTTACATGGTATGCCTTGAAGAGGACAAGCAAAGCTGGATTCTCTGCCCAGACCTCTAGTTCCAGCACTTGGGAAGCTGAGGCAGGACTATCATATTGAGTGCAAGCCCAGCCTGGGTTACATAGTGACACATAGTATGTTCAAAGCCCCTGAACGACATTGCAAGACCCTGCAAGGGTGGGAGGAGCCACCAAAAAAACCAGCATGCTGTATTAAATTTTCTACTTTCACCATTAATTACTGGTCAGTCAATATCACCGTTTTCTTCCACAGATTACTACTATTATAATATTTATATCACCAATGAATCCTCACAAAAGTAAAAATGTATACACAGGCTTATCTTTTCTTTCATCTGTAGAAGATTGTGTCACTGACCTGTGGATATATTTTTACCTGTATAATGATTGCTGTGAGGTTTAAGTTGCATGGCGACATTCCAGATCACACAAAAGTGATTTCTAAACTTTATAACCATTTTATACGAATACAATGCTATGATATTACTCTGCTGTCTGTATTGTGTTTCACTGCAGTTGTGATGGGTCAAATGCATGGCTTTTATCACTGGAAAGAACTCAGATGGAATTGTCTAGAAGCAGTCACACTCCTCGATTACAGCCAGTGGAACTCAGGGGTAAGAAGACCAAGTTTAGGGCAGTCTGCAGCTCTGGAGAGGTTTTGTTTTTTTGTTGTTTTTTTGGTACTAAGTTAAATGTGTCTCAAGGGTTTTTCCACATGTGACCTTTGCAGCATTTCTGTCTCAGGAAAAATCTTCTTCCCATGAGTGCAAGGCATGAAGGATGTTGCTATTCCTGCTTGTTTTTCGTTATAGATCGGACGTGCTTTTAAACAGCTGGCCTGAAAACATTTCTTTGTGCATAAGGTTAAGCAGAAAAATGTTCAATAAGTACTTTTAAAGGGAAAAATCACAAAACTCATTAAAGAAGTCACTCAGCATAAAGCGAACATAAAACAGGGTAGTAGTCTTTCTTATACGGAACTATGAGAACTCCAGGCAGATGGTCATCTGTGACATACCGGTGGTGAGAATTACTGCTTAGGATCCTTACGAGGTATGTACAGATGCTTTTGTCTTTGATGTGAGTTTCTTGACTTTACAAATTTATTCTCTTAGCTTTGCAGTACGTAACAAATATGATTGATTACAGTTCTGGAAAGAGGTCCCCAAAGCTCTACAATCAACCCCACTGATACTCTTCCTGCCTGAGCTTTGCAATAAATATGTTCCCTTTGGACTAAGTTAAACTTCCTCCTTCATTTAAAAACTTAGAAGTGATCTAAAGGAAAAGAATTGCTTGAACACAAACAGAAGGCAATTTTGTGTTTTTATTCCCAAGCTACTCAAAATAAAGATGAGACGTTCTAACTTAACTTATTGCTCATCGGTTTTGGGAGAATCAAAAATATCACACTTAAAGTAAAGCTCAAATTCTGGAAATCTTGACTTCCAAAAGTATGCCTAACCCTGAGCAGACTGAAACTTGACTGACGTTAGAAATATCCTAAGTACGGAATGAACGCTGATTAGCACTGTCAGTCTTATCCTGGATTTCAGAACTCATACTGTTGATCAGTTAGTAACATAACCCAAAGTAAGCAGTCTCTTCTTATCTTACATGACTATCTCTAGATGATAAGAAAAGTAAGTTACAGTCTCACTTTCTATCAACCAGCAACTACTGGGTAACAAGTTCCAAAAAAGTAACAATCAGAACTATCTGTGACATTAAAGTTTTTTGTACTTTCAAATACTTTATCTTTTTAAATGAGCAAACCTACACATCTTATCTGTGGAAATTTTTTTTTTTTTTCAGTTCTTGTTTTTCAAGACCCATTTTGCCATGTATTCCAGCTGGCCTCAAACTTGCCTTGATAACCCTATCTCAGCCTCCAGAGTCCTGGGATACCATGCCTGGCTCTCCCCTAGTCTCAAAAACCTTTACCAAAAAAAAAAAAAAAAAAAAAAAAAAAAAAAA